TCATTATGAACTACCAATAACTTAGCTTTGAATGTCCTTTCACCATTATCTTAGTCCTGGATGCCTCCAACATATCATTTAATACATTACGCAAGTTGCCTGATTGCTGTATAGCTGCTCTATGTGCTGGTGACTCTAGCTTATCCATCACAAGTACACTTCTAGATAAACCAATAATACCCGTACAACGTACACTGAATACAAGTAATAAATGGTACTACTAGTATATACATCATAATCATACTACTACTACATACATGTTATTTGATTGTCCTCCTCCTGCTGATGCTGCTGCATACTGATCAGCAAGGGAGTTCCTATTAATAAGCATTCTAATATCAGTAAGGGCTTGAGCTCTCCATGCAACCAATGATCTTATCATACTTGACTGTTGAAGAGCAGGAGTAGAAGGAGTAGAAAGAATGACCATCAGCCTGCTACTACTACTACCAACAACAACATGGTGATCATCATCATCACTACCTCCCAGGGCCTGGTAGTAGTAGTGGAGATCTCACAATGCACGCACATATAATACATGATGACAATACAGTGAGGTAATATATTAGTATCACACGAGGGAGAGGAGGAGGAGACAAAGAAACAGTAGCACTATCAATACCAATAACTATATCGACCTAACTGTACGAGTATGATAAGGCTACTACTACTACTAGTAGTGAACAACACAATGCAGTATTGATAATAATAATAAACTACTTATCACAATTAGATACCACTACTACTGGTACTATCACTATTGAGCATGCATACTGAGTTTAAACCCCATACCAATAGGATGACCACTTCTATGTGATGATGATGGTAACCGACGTGAATGCTCATAGTCAATGACTGCTGATGCTACTACCCTTTTATCAGGTGATATATTATATATACTACTAATACATAATGATACCTGAATATATAGTCTATACCGAGGCTGCTGCTTACCATAACTCGCACATCACCCTACCTCCTTCTGTAGTATATCCATTCTATACCCGCATTCAAGGGATATACCCAACCTCTCTAGCAGTTGACAGGATCGTTGTACTATATATAATAATAAGGAGTATAATAAGGATAATACTCACCTATCTCTCTACCTGCTACTACTATCTGCATACCACTACCAGCAGTAGTAGCTAGGATCATACCAGCACTACGTTGGTCCCCTACATAGGCAGTAGTAGTAGTAGTAGTAATTGCTATTCATCACTACCTATCGAGCATCCAGAAAGGAGTATCCTCCTAAATCCAAAACGTGGTGATGATAATGTAAAGTCGTTCCTTAATGATACCTAAGGTTGATATTATTATTATCAATAATAGTATATGAAAGTGACCTGAAAGTGTCGACATGGTGCATATCTAGCCCCAATACTAAAGATACCATCAACCTCCGAGGATAATGATGATGATGCTGTTGGCCACCAACTACTACTACTCTTATCATTAGTAGTTACCTCCATACCCGATACCAATGTTATTGGAGATCTACTACTATTAGAGGACCTACATCATCATACTACTACTCTGAGTATTATTATCAACATCTCCTACTATTACCAGTAATCCACAGCAGCAGCAATATTAACACCTTCCTCACCCAATAGGAAGCGTATACATTTGGGTGTAATACGTTTGGTAATGGGTGGTGTATCTATAATGATACTAACAGCAAGTGTAGGATAGTAATTATACATACCACCAAGACTACAAGAAGGAGGAGGAGGAGCATCCCATCCTCCTCTAATACTTGTACTAATACCATCACTTTCTCTAATCACAGAAGTGTTCTGTGACTTGACGATGTCGTTGAGGTGTGGTATGAAACCCTCTACCTGATATATACTTCCTCATCATCATGATGATGATATGTGCACTGTCCTTACTATAGCTTCACCATACCATGAATATCTATTCTTATATTGTAAGGATATCATACCCAAACGATCAGCGAATAACCTATAATGACAATATGCTACCTTACTATCTTGCCTCATCATCCTTACTACTACCTCATAAGTATGCAAGTATTATGGATAGGTCCATTGAAGGCTAGTGAAGTAGATGATACATTACCAGATAAGAATGAGAACCCCTATATGTATATAACCCAGCATAACACAGCATAAGAGAGTATTACATTTAAATATACACTCCTCAAGGGTCCACACCCTTTAATACTCTCTAGAGTGGCTGTTACATGTAACGGCATCTAACGCCACCATCATACTATACAACACTAGTATGACTGGTACCTCTCTAATATTCCTAGTAACAGTACCAAACCTTTGAGTGATCATATGTGGTGATAGCAGTCTATGGCATGGTTCGTATAGTAATGTTCCTATAACAAGTAGATATGATACACATAGTGTTGTAGTTGGTATTACCGATGACATCGGGTTTGTATGGATCTATCCTTGCTTCTGTAGTAGTGGACATCTTACTACCCAGATGGTTAACTAATCTTGCGCTTCTAACAACAACACGACGACACAATAATTCTGCACGCATGCACATACACATAGGTGGCTCGAGTAAACCCTCTGACCGGTATAATTATTATCTTATCAGTTGCTGTTGTTTCTGTGATTCTTCCTTATGTTCGTTCCTCTTCTACTTACTATTTCCTCTATTCCTATTACCCTAGTATTGGGTACACCATCCAACGTATGTCAGAGTATATGTTGGAATACACCCTACTGTGGTGATTCTGGTTATACATCCTATTGTAAGAGTGATGGCTTATGTTATGGCCTCTATCATAGAGGTAATGCTGCATATTGTTATCAACCTGAGGATCCCTCTTGTAATGGTGATGTATTAGAGCCTGTTAGCTGTTCACAAGATGTTGTAGCTTCCTGTGAGGATGTATGTGATTCCATACCAAGTTGCCATGCATCCAAGTCTAAGTCCCATTGCCGTACCTGGGCTAAGGCACCAGTATGCTATGGTATATTCAAGAGAGATGATGGATCCTTATGCTATGCCCCTGAGGATGATGATTGTCATGGTACTCCTCTGGAATGCCCTAGTATACAACTTCGAAATGAAGCTGTCCATTCCCCTCTTACTACTACCTCTACATCTGATGAACAATCCAACAAGGTTAATGGCATTGTTGTGGTAGTATAGATACAGTAGTAATTCGTGATGATAGTAGTAATAATGATGTCAAAACATGATGCGTTTTCATGCAGGCTACTGGTCTCTGACGACATCGAATGTGTTTTGGGACTGTTATTACCATTGCATCAAACATCATTATAATTCCACTATGTTACTACTGCTGCTACTATTATGTTGCAGGAATACGACTCCACCTACCACAATTCGATCAACTTGGTTGTACTGTATTATGGGAGGACCTGTGTACTATCTAGTAGATGTTGTAGCAACATCCTCAAGTTCTTCACTCCTTATGGTCTTGTGTTAATAGTATTCCCCTTGAGGATCCCTGGACCTGTATATGGGGTTATATCTCTATGATGGCAAGGTTTGTAGGGAAGTCTTACTAACACCTAGCAGTATACTGGTTTTGGATGATTACAACGTTCGATAACTGGAAAGCCGACTAGTTCATTGAAAAGTTACTTGGAGCAGTGTCTTGTGGGACTCACTGTAGCCTTTTGTTGATACGAGTCATCTCTAGTTTAACCTGAGTTTAGAAATGAAGTAGTGACCCCTCCCATGTATGTCTGTGGTCTTGAGTTGCGATATGCGAGTTCCATCAGTCGCTTGAGTATCGTCAGCATTTCGTAAGTCCAATGTAAGGTTGCATGAATGGATATTTGTAATAAATACTCGTATAAAGGTAGTAGTTGGAAAGGAGGTGTAACAGCAATGGTTGGCAGAGGTATATTCTCATCATGATGAGGAGGAGAAGGCAGGGATAATAGCACTTGTATAATCATATTCCCCTTACAGATTCACTCTACATGAGGTATACAGAACTTACTAAGAGGTTTTGAGGGTTGGATGATGTCGGAACAAAGTAGTTGAATAATGATGATGATGAGAAACTACTCCCGACGATGGTTTTACTTGAATCCAAGAGGGTCCTATGGTCGAGTGGCTGTTGATAGCCAGTAGCATTGTATCAAAGGTTGTTTCGTGTCACGCAACGCTCCGCCGCCGCCTCAAGCTGCCCTTCTGGTTGGGTGATTCATTCCGATTCACCACCATTTCAAGAAATCACCACCACCATCATAACGTCAGTGTGCGGTGATGATGATGATATGGTGACGGTTTCACATTGTGTACCGTTTTGTTGTCTGTGTTATTGGGCTAGCGCTGATGTATTGATATATAACAGCTCATACTCACTATCCTCTCTTCAGTATCTTTTTACTTCTCGCACCTCCCTTATCATGCAGTTCATGAAGGTCCTTATCCTCCTATTCGGCATTATTGCTGCTGTTACCATGTAGTATTATGTCCCTCTCTCTATGTGATCATGCAACCTGTTGTTGTTGTTCAGGTTGGAAGGTTGTACCGATAAGTCCTCTCAGAAGGTCCCTGAACATGGTGAATCCAAACACGAGGAAGGGAAGGGTTCTGGGAAGGAAGGTGGTGGTGGTGGTGGATCTGAAGGGGAGAAGGCCAAATCCCCTGAGTCTGGTAGGTATATCTTCCTATTAGTGTTATCATTACCCTCTTACTTTTCTCAGTGTAATCAATCTGCGATCTCTGCTGCTGTGGTCGCCAATATAGGAGTTATCACTATACATGATTGTTATTAGTTTAATCTCACTTATTGCTCTTGTGTTTATGTAGTAGTAGTGGTATACGGCAGTGTAGGTATCTGTATAGTAATGGGAGATACTTCAAACACTATCTATCCTCCAGCAATAGAGGTTATTGCTAGTACATGGTCTAGGGAGTCACATGATCTATATGATTATGAATCTAGGTATAATGTAGGGATCCATAATAGTAGGTAGTAGTCTTGTTGTTATTAGGAATATCCGATCACAGAGGTTCATACTACCAATAGATGATGATACAGGTGGTATGTCCTCCTTACTAATAGCTCTAGTATGCAGTGGTTATTATTATGAATAATAGATACATCATCAACACTCTATCGCGTATTATACGATAATGATGATAGTACTGGTTATAGTAAGGGTATGATTACCAATACGAGTGGTATATTAGAAGTACCCATTATTAATACATCTAGGGTTATTATTAAAAATGATGATGATATTGATGAAGTGGAGGGTAGTAGAGTAGAGGAACCATTAATAAGTATAGGAAGGTAGTAGTGTAGGGGTATCCTATACTACCATCACTTTATATGCTGCATAATAAAGGTGCAATCCCACTACTGATGATATGTATATTAAAGGAGTGAGCCATTGTGATCATAAGAAGTGTAGGCCATGGTTAGTAGTACATGATCCATCCAATGCTGTTGATGGTGTATCATTAAAAGAAGGAGATATATTAAGATTAGGGAGAGTTGAATTAAGGGTTCGTCAGGTAAGGAATAGGAATAGGATCAATAACAAATGTATAGTAGTGATGTATAATAATAGATGGTATATGATAACTATCGATCACAGTCCAAGGAAGAGGAGGAGGAGGAAGAAGAAGAAGATGGTCCTACACTCACACTACCAGGAGGAGTAGGGGGATGTTGTTCACCATCATCTACAGTATGCTCCAATGATGATGACAGGGAGGAGGTGGAGGTGGAGTTACAATTGCTCTCTAAGGGTGTTAGTAAAGGTAGTAGTAGTATGATGATGATAATAATAGTGATGATAATAATCAGATTCATCCATGACCAAGGCATATGTAGATAGATCTATTCATGGTTTATCATCATCATCATCATCATCATTGCATGGTATGGTATGTAGGATATGTTTGATGGAAGGTAGTATACCATCATCATCATTATTATACTAGAGTGGACATCATAATAGGTACATCGAGTATACATGATCCATTCGTAGCACCATGCCATTGTAGTGGTAGTATAAAGTAATATATCATCATCATCATCATCATCCTCCTACTACTACTACTATTACTATCATCTTAGATATGTCCATATTAATTGCCTAAGGCACTGGATAGGTGATAGACTAAGGTTACCATCAGGATGTAGTAGTAATAGAAGAAGAAGAACCCCTCCATTTTTGTATAGACCTCTCACTTGTGAGTTATGTAAGGCTCTTTATCCGACATATGTAATACCATCACTACTACTACTACTATTACTACTACTATTACTACTACTATTACTACTACTATTACTACTACTACTACTATAATGATGATGATAATGATGCTTAGGTTAATATTGATGGTAATATTGAATGCCTCTATCCCTTACCCCATGTCAAACCTCCCTATATTGTATTTGAGCTCAATCTTAATCCTACATCCTCCTCCTCCTTCGAGCAGCAACAGGAGCAAGATGGTAGTAGTAATAGTATAGATGCTAACATTGGGCTAAATGTGGTCAGCCTTGGGGGTTATAAGTGTAGGGATATTGGTCCTGAGATTGCCGATAATAATACTATGTTGGATGATAACTATAATAATAATAATAAAACGGCTGATGTTGATGGTATTATTATAGGGCGAGGGCACGATAGTGATGTTAGAATATCTGATGTAATAATACTATAACAATAACAACAACAGGAGTAGTCATAGATGTCATCATCATCTTATAGGTATCTATATCCAGAAAGCATTGTTTATTACGATATCACAATGGTCAATTCTATATACAGGTAATCTATTATAACTAGGCATCCTCCTCCTGTATTATAATTATTAGTAGGATCTGTATTCTAAGTTTGGTACATTATTATCAATACCATCTCAAGGGCTCAAGATACCACCATCGGGTTCAATAGCTGTACAAGTAATAGTAGTGATGATGATGGTCATGATGATGGTCATGATACATTATATTAGGTTGGTCGTACAGTATTGAGGGTTATTGCTCCACGAAAGGGGACGACAAGATGGCCCCCATCATCATCATCCATATTACCTTCTCCTCCTCCTAATGGAGTGCCACATATAGTAAGACCATATCAAATAGGAGGATATTATAGGGATCAACCTGCTGCTTATGATGGTAGTATACTAATGATAGTAGGTTACCAATGATGATGATAGTAGTAGTAGGTAGTAGTATGCCTATGGTAGTAGTACCATCAACATATCCCCCTCCTATATTACATGGACACCATCATCATTATGATAATGATGAGCAGGATGATGATGATGTTATGATGGTTATACCACATCCATCAAACGCTGATGGTATCCCTAGTAGTAGTACTACTGATACTTCCCATGGTCTTCTATATAATACTATACATGATGATGATGTTATGATGATTATACCACATCCATCAAACGCTGATGGTATCCCTAGTAGTACTACTAATACTTCCGATGTTATGATGGTATCTAGTCCTACTACCACTTCACCGCCGCATAGAATCGATTGATTTATCAATAACCATACATCGAGGGCAGACCAGTATTAAATGCTATAGTAAGGGTGATGGATGATACTAGGATGATGATAATGATGATACTTTTACCAACAACAACAACAATCAATAATTCATAATAACAATAATAATCGTTACTGTTTTCAATACTCACTATATCATCATCATTATGGTATTGTGTTATTACTATAACTATTATTATCCTTCATTATCTGCATCCTTCAGTATACCCATGTCATCATCATCATCATCGACCACCCAAGGAATAGGTCTAAAGAAGGTGGTAACCTTTGCTGATCATATACCATCTTGTTGTATTATATGTAATAATGAGGATGCCCGATATCGATGCCCTCGATGTCATCAACGGTAGTGGTAGTAGTAGTAGTAGTAGTAGTAGTACTAATGATGATGTTGTTGTTGTTAGATACTGCAGTGTTGCATGTTATAAAGAGCATAGTAATGGTAGATGCTCACAGGGGTTCTATCATGATGAAGTTATGTCATATACTCAAGTTAATAAACCAACTGAGGAGGAGAAGAGGAATGTTGAGATGATGATGTAATAATGACTCTAGTAGTGAAGTAGGATGATAGGATTATCTATCATGTTCAGATATGATAATAACAACAACTCTGATGATATATCCTCCACCACCTCCTCCTATGATGATGATGATGATGATGATGAGGTATTGAATCTATATCGTTTATTGGATGCCCTAGATGATGATGATGGACACCAGAAGGAGAAGGATATGATACTTGCACATCTTGGTGATTATCTATCACAAGAACAAATAAATGATTTCAGAAGTGAACTTAAATCCGGCAAGCTGTAATAATACCATCATTATCATCATACCCCTTTTTATACGTGTATAGATACCATCAATTCCTCAATAAGAACACTGATGATGATGATGTTATAGAGGAGTGGTCACCCTGGTGGAAGGATAAAGTATTAGCCTCAGAACGTAGCTATGAGGCTACTGCTAATAGGAGATTAAGAAGACATCTATGTTGTGATGGTACTATTGGTGATATATCATCATCATCATAATACTGTATATTGATGATATTATCAGGTACATTAACTCTAGTAGTAAAGGAAGATATCATTGTATACAGGATATGTTCTGTATTATATGGATATACTAAGCTTGTTAGACAGTAATAATATTAAGAAGCACTACATGATGAGTAGTGCTGCTGTTGCTGTTGCTGGTTGTTAGGTATATGGGTGATTGGTCCTGGGATGTAGTTGGTGTATCATCGGAATTATTATCATCATGTTCATTCTTATGTGGTAGAGAGGATAATCATCTTAATTGCATCGATTACGACAATCTACGCCAAATGGCTATCACCAACATGTATAATGATCCACAGGCTTGGCAGGATGTAGAATAACAATAACAAGAACCTTATTATTATTATGATTATTATTGGTAGGTATCGGATATATTAGATAATGAGAGATCTTATCAATTACTCATGTCTATACTATATGAGATAAGGACTATGTTGGTATCAAGTGGTATACAGTCAAAGAAGGAGATTATGGCACTACGACTATTGGAGAGTTACACGTAAGATAGGTATATACAATGATTATGATGATTTAGATAGTATTAGTAGGTATCATCATATATATCGGGATGAGGAAGGGAGGAATATTGTGATGTTATTGAAAGCTGAAGTTGATCAGCTAATTGGAGATCTTCATCATCAGATGGAGGAGGTGAAGGATGTTGAGGATAAGTTAGCGACTGTTAAAGGGGAGGATGATGATA